TAGAAAAAAAAAAAAAAAAAACTGGCCATACTGTTTACACATTTTATGCCGTCGGAAGGTCGGTGTTTTATGTGCGAATGACGGCGTGTACGGCAGCGGCGCCGAACCCAAATGTTGGAGGTGTGGCGGCTGCCGCGCGTAATCCGAGTGGCGGGTATACCACCTCGGATCGGTCGTTCAAACGTAAAACATTGTGCGTTTTAAAATGAACGTGCGGAGATATGGACACGGTTATTAATCGCGGTAACAACGTCGAAAATAACGCGAACCCGCGCATAGTCAATTCCTAGACGGCCGTAGCGTGTGCTGCGTGATTGCACTGGTGTGATCGCCTAGGTAACATAATTCGTTAGATTCGGCGGTACCGGTTTATTTGTAGAGGACACAATTGTATCTGTTGAAGCCGGCGGGCGCACGGTTTGTGTCTACGTACGACACGCGTGTACAAACCGCGTGCTGAACTCTCGTTAAAAGTATAATTCAACAGCCGACAATGCCTGATTTCGTTGCAGCGTGTAACGTTGATTACAGAACACACTGTTCTGCAATCGAAATCGACGCGCGCGCGACGTTGTACGTATTAACCGTCAAATATCCGTAACTTGCAAACGGGTTATTATTGTTGACATGGCCGCTGGTATTCCGTTTTTGCACGGGATAAAGTCGATTTTTACTGATGGGCGATTCGACAGTCGAGAGCCGAATGTACGCTTTACACGATCACTGTCTGTGAACACAATCGATCGAAAACAAACAATCGAATAGAATTTTTTTTGATCGAAAAGAGTTATTCGACCGATCATTTCGATTGATTTGCGAATAGGCCCCCTGGATCTACAACAATTTTGCTTGTTTGTCTGAGTCAACCGACGCGCGACGGGCCGTCGTACATAATCGAAATAAATTAAGGAAAAAAGACGTTTCGACATATTATACAAACTGCACCGTACCTCCGTCCGTTTTTGTTTTAATTATTATCGTACAGTTCTGGAAAAAAAAAAAAATAATACAATTTATACAGTATCTTGGATCAGTAGTATTTTTTGGGAAGATTTTTTCACCCGGTAATATAATTATCATTCTTAATGAGATTTTATCGGTTAACAGTGTTACGAAAAAAAAAAAAAAAACGAAAAACAAAAACAAAAGAAAAAAAGGTATAACGAATAATTGAAAATCGAGAAAAAGAGACACAGAACAGAGCAGGTTTTACAAAAAGAAAAACCTCATAAATCATTCGAAACCGTGGTACACAAATATCGAGAAACTTGATTATTGAGTTTTTTTTTTTTTTTTATTTTTAATAATATAGAGTACACCATACAGTTTGATTGCAATAAACGGAAACCGGTATTCAATAACTAAAAGTTTTAATTATGTTACCAATTAGCTCAGGCTCAGGTAAAATTCGTCAAGTTAAAAAAAAAAAAAAAAAACTAATAAAATCGATAGCTACATATTTTTATTAATAATTTAAATGTGTAATTATACTAAAACGATATAACCGTATAGTCGTATGATGACATCAACGGTTATAAAAACATATGGTAGACCATATTTCGTTGTCATGTTAACGTTAACAATTGTATGCACAATACGGTCGTCAAATAAAAAACCTGAGTCTGTAACGGTTACCGGTGTTGCGTCTAAACAATAGAGACAGGTATGTTTGTATCGTTTATCTGGAATGGGAAATGGGTTGTCCGAGACGCAGTCTGAGATAAAAAGAAATTAAGAACAATCATTCGGGTAAACGTGATAAGTCACACCAATCGCGTAACCTTTTTTACACCACGTATGAAAACTAAACGGTGACTGGGTACCATATTTGCAAGTTATACAGTTAGTAGTTTCAGTTTTTATTTCGTTCTACGATGAAAAATGGAAACAATTTTTTTTTTTTGTTTTCTTAATCCACGAAATTTTTAATTATCGTTTCGCGATTAAACTAATCAGCGAGTAGGTCGGCAATTAGTCGTTGGACTTAAACCTTAGAATGGGCGTTTCAAAATTTGTCATTCTACATAACTACTGATTACGGACGGTCCGGGATCAACCGTTATTTACTAGACACCGCAATTACGCGACGTTGTTCAGACTCAAAAGAAATCTGAAAAGGTAAACAGCCGTATATTATACGGATATACGCCGAACCGATGTAATATAATTAACTACTAAACGGTTTTGTGTAAATCGATGGGATACGCGTCGTGGAAAAAAAAAGTTCGGAAAACAGGCCAAGAGTTAAAACTCAATAATTCCGGAAACCTTTTTTGTTTTGTTTTTTTTTTTTTTCACGTCTTAAAAACGGGTTTAGTTGTAAATAATTACCGGGCAAACATTTCGTCAAACGGCGAAACACGATTTTTTTCTCTTTTTTCTCTGTGTTGTTTTTTTTTTTTTTTTTTTTCATTCAGTTTTCAGGACATAATGTGCACTTATACTGTGTATCGATTTTAAGTCCGCGAAATTATTTACTTCAACTGCAAACACTGTAGTGATTTATAAATACTAAAAAATACCGTACCCGAACAAAAGCACGATTCGACAACTTATAACTAATACGTTAGCGGAATTCGTACAGTAAAACAATTATCCCCGTACGTATATGAACAAAACGCTTCATACGCGGTGATTCTTTGTTGTTATGCTTTTTTAACATGGTCCAGAAAGGAAGATTCTCGGAAAGTTTTAACTGAATTTTATTTTAACGTATTTCAATCGTTATTTCACAATCGTTTAACGGCGTTTTATAACAATATTACATTTTCGAAATCTATTACAATCGCGTTTAAGCCCGTACACCATAAACACATTTTATTGACAGTTGATTTTCAAATGGCAAACGTTAAATTTAAAAATAGAATATATTTTTTATTTTTTTCAAAAAATGAAAACCGTTATTACCATAGAGTTTAACATTTTTTCCAATCGTAAAGAAAACGTCAAGAGACGTAAAAAAAAAAAAACACCTCCTCATACTCACCAACTAGACAACATTTTCTTCTATAAAAGATACAACATAGTAATTCAGAGTGAGATTTCCGAGGATGAGAAAATAAAATTGAAAAAAATCGAATACATTGAAACTTTTATTGCCCGTTTCTTTTATACAATAATTTTTCGACTACAATGAAAATAACTCGGCAAATCAAAAGACGGCCGCTTTAATGCACCGAGTAAATCCAAAATCTAACCAAAATGTTCTCTTGACATTTTTCGGTCAAATCATGATTTCTAGTAGAAAAGCCGATAACAGACTCACGGAATAAATAATTAAACACACGCCGTAGTAGAACCACAGTATGTTTTTCGCCACGCTCAGAGTCTAATAATGAAATGCACAGAAAATCGTCCGATAAAATCGCCGGGTCACGATTAGAAAACTAGCCACTCTGTATGTAACGTTCGCGCTATTATTACACCGCGAACGAGATTAATTTTTACGAGTATAAAGACGGAAAAAGAGGAAATAATCTGGCCGACGCGGTAATAAAAGTCGTGTCTGATTAAAAAACGGGTTAATTAAGAAAACGTTTTTCGTTGTTTATCTTGAATGTAATAATACGGTATCATTTGCGGGGGAAAAAAAAAACCCGTCCACCACTAATGAATCATTTCTATGGCGAACTAATACGGTTTGCGTTGTACTGTGATTTTTTTTTTTTTTTAAGGCCTGCTGAAAGAAAAACGGTCTAAGTTTCGTTTCGAATCTGTCGCGATAAAAATAATACCCACACAAAAAAGCGAAAAGTAAAATCAAACGGAAACGGAATATTGAATTCGTATCTTAATTAAAATATTGCCATCCGCAAATTGTATTTTTGAAATTTGTTTTTGTCATTATACGACACGCATACGGATGAGTTCGAATGCGGAAAACCTCGTCTAGTCATAATTTTCCGATTGATCCGATATACTTACTGCAACTTGTCGATGAACGCGAAAATTATAAACCACTCGTAACTTACAAATTGAATAGAACAAAAAAAAAAAAACCTATCGCGCGGGGAGAACAGCGTAATCTTCAGACATCGTGATTTATTCGCCGTGGTGTAAACGACGTTATTTATGTTGTTTTTTTCTTTTTTTGTGCTTCTCTTATTTTTATACCTAGCTAAATTTATAAAATGTCATACGGATCCGACATTCAATTTCGATGTATGTTCGTCTAGAGCAGAGTTATGTTTGTCTAAAACGGCTAAAAGAATAAATACGACACAACGACAGTTAATTGTAAAAGTACAACGAAATTTATTGAAATACATATTATTATTTTTTTTTTACCTTTTTTTGTCAACAATTATTTGTATCGCCTTGAAAATAATTCGTACCCGGCTATAATGGTATCCATGTGTTATTATTAAATATAATGAAGTGCGTTCCAAACGGGTGTTTCTTTCTCGGAAAATACTTTTACGGTTTTAGAGTTCTTCATGCCACGCAACCGTGATTATAATTATTTGAACATTTTCATTAATTTCATAACGCCTTTTTTCAAAAAAAAATGTTGTTATTTTTTTTTCTTAAATCATATTTTGGCTGGCCTAGTATTTCAGTTTTCACGCGGTAGGTAATGTAGTATTTTTTCCGAAAAGAAATCCGACCGGAGCGGTACTTTTGGGAGGTCATATTTTAATTTTCTCAATATATTGGAAAAACCGGGAAAAAAAAAACAGAAGAAAAACGGGAAAATGTACGAATGTATAGTAAAATATTACGGCCTTTTTTTTACCAACAATTAATCCGACATACATGAAATTCCCGTCTATATCCTACCTTCCCAACTCACCACGTACAACAGTGGTTGCACCCACGTGCGAAATATGTCCGTATTTGTTCTTTTCCAATTTTTCTATACATTCGCCCGCTACACTGTGTTGGATTACATACTATCCTTTTATGTAGAATGTAATCATGTCCGCGATAATCCTTTTTTATTTTATTTTTTTCCTAACCAGTACCAGTTAATTTATTCGGATTTTTACTTTTTGTTTTCAGTTCCCGACCTGCGGGCTTCTGACAGACGACACAGTCGCCATGCTTCGGTCGGCGGAGGAACATCGAACCATCTCGATCCTAGTAAGTATTTTTTCAAAAACAATTTTTTATTCGTGAGTCGTAGCGGAAACACATTATACTATTATACACGTTCGGTAATAGACGTAAATAATGTCTGAACATACAAACGGCATCAGCTCAGTAGGTTTTAGAGACAAAAATAAAACAAATATGTTTATCACCATGTAAGGTGTTTTCAGTTATCAACAATAAGGTTCACCTGAACATCAATGGAAATTACAAAACGGATGTTAAATTGAATCGTGATTTGAAAACATTAAAACATTATTATTGCGTAAAGGCAGGATGATAACAAACAAGTAGCCGAATCTGAAAAGTGATAATAAACGAAAAACTGTTATTACGACTTGAAATATTCTGAAAATCATTCCACGTAGAACATGATTGGTCAAATGAATCGATTTTAACGCGGACCCTTATTCACGTTATACGAGTATATCAAAAATACAAATGCATGCGTCTCCACACAGGGTTCGATTATAACAAAAAAATCGACACGTATTACGGCGGTTTATTTTTTGACCAAATCAACTTTTACCAAATGCGAATGCTCACTTTTTTTTTTCTTTTTTCTGTAACTGTGTACTTACCCATAGTTATATTATGTGGAGTACTATACTAATGGTTTTCTATCTTTTACGAATCACGACCTATTTTTTTTCCACAGAATATGCTCCTTTCAAAAATTGTTTAATAGAAATTGAATATTGCGATGTACAGTTTTCGTGATACTTTTAGTTTTTGGTGACTCCCCAACATCACTCACGACTCATTTGTTGGTCACGACCCCAGGTTAACAACCACTGCACTATACAATTAGATCGTATTAAGTTCATAAACAAAAAAAAAAAAGTGCACGAAAATAAAAATGGTATATTTTATGCTTTTATGTGAACATTGTGCCCGTGAAAATATGCGCGAAAATTAAAATGGTTTTTATTCATTGCATGCGAAATTCGTTTGAACCATTTTTTATCCGAATGAAAATTTTTCATGCGGGCCCTCCCACTGCCACCGAAAAACACACAACGATTTAAAAACCTTGGCGAACGTAAGTTCCTACACGATAGAAAAAAGGTACATAATATATAAGTTCCTACACGGTAAAAAAAAAAGTTGCGTATGTAAGTTCCTGTACGAATATAAAAATGAAATGTGTAAGTTCCTACATCGCATAATACATTTTATAATAAGATGGTTAATAATAATACAACATAGTAAAAACCCTATGCGAAACTTTAGATTATACAATAATACAAAATTAATCAATACGATTTTGTTAAATTTTTAAATTTCAGAAATAAACCTTGTAAAGTTTAAAATAATAATTTTTTTTTTTTAATGCATGCAATGATTTTATATTTATTTATAAAATATATTATGTCATTTCTATTATTTTTTTCAAGACATTATAATCAATTTGATTACATTTAATGTATGAAATAATAGTTTTGTAACAAATGTAAACACTTAACCAATAATATAGTATAAGTATACACTTACTGAGATTTAAACGTTTTTATTACCCCGTAGAAACTAATACATTTCATTTTTGTGTAGCAACTAACATACGCATCTTATTTTTTTGCCATTTAGGAACTTACGTGATATGTACTTTTTTATATTCGTGTAGGAATTAACGCGTTGGTTTTGTAGGAAACTAACGTATGTAATATTGTTTATATGTTACATTCTTGTAAGAACTTAGTATTCTCCAAATCCATGTGCCCTTACTATATTTAAATATTTAAATAATTTGAAAAGTAGCAAACACCTTTTAATTTTCACAAGTCTGTCACAAAATATTTCCCACCCGTATTGATGAAAGACCGTAATAAAGAAGTATAAAAAAAAAAAAAAAATAAAAAAATAAAATTTATTTTCAGGTGTAGATAGTGTTGTAGACATAAAACTGGCGATTGTATTCTTAACGAACCACCTCGCGTGGAATATCGTTGAAAATTTTGTCTTTGAAAATTTAATATTATAACCGCCAAAACCGATAGTAATAACATGCGTAAGCGTAACGATATTCTCTCGCCTCTCTAATACCATATCCCAAATATGTGATGAAACAATTCTGAAAATCATTCATTAGAGTAGCTCTCTTCATTCAACAAAAATTGTGTTGAGCAAAAAACAAATTATGTTATTTCAATAACTGCAGGACACAAGTACAAAAAAGGAAACGATGTGAAAATAATGGTTTTTATTTTTTTTTTTAAATATGACATTACCTAAACTTTAAAAAGTCGTTGTACGGAATAACACAGACACTCCGGGCTACAAAATGGTAATCAATCTAAGATGTAACGCATTCTTTACCGGTTGCACCGACGACACGTTAATCGATTCGCGATAATTCAGTATTTTCTGAGAGGACAATTTATTTTTTCGATACTTACTATGTATGGGACCGTCTATCACGTACGAGACATCACTGCAGTCGCGTATTTCGTTGTTTTTTTTTTTTTTTTTTCACATAGCGCGGTAATACGTGTTCATCATACCGTTGACACGATCATTTTATCGACGTTTTGCTGTCCCATAAATATTTACAAACGCGTCTCTGCAATACGAACTCGGCATCCGTTCAAATATATATTATTATAATGTTAAATTGTGTTTCTAAACCGATACGAGCAATTTGTTTACGATTTTTTCCCGACATCCCTGATGTTTGGGCTTATGTACTTTCCGAAAACGCCGTTGCAATAAATGCAAATGGCATACCGAAAACCAATAGCCGAAACAACAGACGCGATATGGAACAATATTGTGCTCGGATTTTTCGTAAAACTATAATACAGACAAAGTTTGTTAAAAAAAAATTCACCCTTGAACAGCAACCTCTGTTACTATTAATCGACATAATATACATCATTTATTGTTGTGTTTTTGCGCTACAATAAATAATCAAATATTTAACTTCCAAAAAAATAATAAAAAATTGTGGAATTTTACTATAAAAATGTCAAGGCCAAGGTTGAAATTTGAAACCACTAAAAAACACACCTTTTCCATGTTTATACGAGATTTCCCATTCTGTGACTTCATTTGGCGAGACTGTAGGGGAGTTTATTGCTCATAAAACATCTTCCATCCCCAATTACTTAATTAGGGTCAAAAAAAAAACCTTGATTTAACATTTCAATCCGTCTCAAAAACAGTTCTAATTCCCGAGTTTGAGTTTATTTAGTAGGTCACATATACGATTATACAACAGACATAATCTGAGTTGAGCGTGCAATGTATTGGTTTAACAATTATGTTTATTTATTTTTCTTTTGTTTGTCAACAACTTTTTTAACAGCAATTTTGCTCAGATTTTCAAGTATAGCACTTTTTCTAAAAGAAAAAATATAACTGGGCAGTGCTTTAATAAGGAGGCCTTTTTTTAATTTCCAGAAGTTTTCATTATAAATGGGAAAAACAGAGAAAAAACATGAAAATATACGAAATGAATTATTTTCATATCGTAAATACTATTGCTTTTTAAAAATTGTGCAAACGAATTTCCCTCAGAATCGTTTTTTATTAGCAAAAATTTAATCGTCACGTACAGACAAACATTAAATTTCCCTTTATACCTTACCTTCCCAACTTTTTATCTACGACAGTTATACGTTTTATATTTATATCGAGAATTCAGTGGTGAGTATTACTTCTAGAGGTCTCCTGTATGTCGACCTATGATATTTTGTACACCGGAAAAATGTAGAGAGAAAATAGCATTTACTCGATTTTACCTAGGTCCAATGCATTCTTTTTCTTACGCTCCGCTCGAAAACATTCAACCGAATCTTCAGATCGTTGTTGCAGAACTCGAATTTCGAGTTTTCTATTTTTTGTCTTTTTTTCACTCTATACATATACATCGTGTATATAAATTTACATATTATACTAGCCGGGGAGCGAGAGTAGGTAGGTATCGTTATTTTTTTCGACCATTTTCATTTCGAACCCGTCGCGTGCCCATGATAAATGGCCCGGGGAAAATAAAGGTTAGAACGTATAAAGAAGGTGCGGGTGCGTATTGTTTCATAGGCAATAAACGAGATAAAAAAATAAAAATAAAATCGGTAAAAAAAAAAAAATAATAATAAACCGCCAAAAAATAGTAAAAAAAAAAAAAAGAAAACAGAAAACCATAAGCACCGTTAAAAAATGTCGGTGGACGTTTAACGGGCCGCATTTTATACATTTTTAATTTAAATTCCGCGGAATTTCTATACCTACTCTCTTTGATCGTTATACTGCCACTTCCGTATGCGCGTCGACGGCGTTAATAAAGTGCAAAATGTTGTTCCGAAAAACCGCCAAAGTCGTTTTTATAAATTCATTTTTTTCGCCACCCCCCCAGCCCTACTGGCTGCCCCTCACGAATACAGAATGGATTATTAATGACGTATACTGTTGAATTTCGCCCATTAATAACCGCACGCTAGGTTAATAAACTAAAATACAAAACAATATAATATTTCGAGAGTGAAGCCCATGGAACTAGTATAGGTAGTATCTATATAAAATATAATACTCGCGCATAACGATAATATGTGTTAATTAATTGTCGTAACGAGAATATTATAGCCGTATAAAACTGAACGGCTGAGTGGTAGGTGTGTTATAATATATGTATAGTCAACTGCGTGCCTCGGCTTTTGAAGCGAAATAAATTACCTACAAAAAAAGCGTAAAATATTTTATAAAAACAAAAACGAAGCATACAACACAGACACACACAAAAAAAAAAAAATGAAATATTATTTTATTTTTTTTTTTTATATAATCACCCGCGAGCAACAAAACTCGGTCACTGTATATCGAGTCGTTGGCGATCATCGTTCTTCCTCAATTGGACTTATTTTTTTTTTTAAATATTTAATATTTTTCTTAAATAAGAATATAGGTATTCAAGGACATAATCTAAAAACATAAGCTATACAAAATATGTACATTACTTTAAAAAAATATTTTGCTCCTCGTCTCCTCTTCCGAAATGCGGTTTCGGTTACCATTTCGTAAGTATCCGTATGTCATTAAGCCCACCGCGCGTTGTATTAGCTTCAGAACCGACACTGACATCAGTCGAATTACCGATGATAATAATTATAGCACTTTTTTACAGTTTTATCGAGCAACGTTTGATCGTGTACATCAATCATTTTGGTTTCTACAATCGAATCGCTCAAAACCAACGCTGCCGAAATCAAAAAACAAAAAACAAGTCGGAAAAATGCACACGAGTCGCCTACAATAAGACGGTTTTTAATGAACCGAAGTAATAAATAAATGCATCGCGATTGTTAATATGATTAAAATACGGGTACATTTAAAGGCAGATGTGGTATTTCAACTAACGGATATTGTTGTATTGTTGGTACTTCATTATCGTGTGGTCGGTCATTGCGGCCTCTAACGGTCTTTTTGCCTTTATTGCGTTTTACGTCTGGTAGAAAAATACACACACAAAATTAACATAACAACACCAATATTATATTTTTCGCTACATGTCAAATCTGAAAAAATCGTCTTAGTAAAACCAATTTAGTGGCGTACCTAACGAAATTGGTATCGGTACCAGAAAAATGCACCTTTAAAAAGGCTCAACCTTTCCGTTGGGCGTAAAGTTATTCCATTACAGAACTTTAAAAATGTTTAATGGCCATTTTGTGGTCATGGAGCCCAGTGCGTGAGCACCTCTCATCCACCTTCCCTTCTACACACACCCAATACTAAAACGGCACTTCCAATACTAAAACAAATCCTACGAACTTAAAAGCGAACATTAAAAAAGAACGATTGCGAGTGGCCTCGTTATTTGATCTACTATATGGTCAAAAGGTCAAAATGTGTATACAGAATTGAGACTAATGAAAAAAAAAAAAAAAAAAATGATACCATCGCAGAACAATATTATAAAAAAAATGCGTTGGCTCAGAAGGACTTTTTATTTTTCATAGAATTCGTCGTGGTTGTTTTTACACGACTTTTAAACGGTTAGCTAAATATTTGACGTTAAACTTCCAAAAACAAAATTATTTTCATACCATTCTGATGCATGTTTTCGGGAACTGTGTAAATGCATATTTGGCGAATGATGATCGTTTTTTATGTCGGTCTCGCGATTTCCGAGTGACCCGTATTTGATGGTTTATATTATATAGGTACACACAATCGAGTTAAATAATAACAAAATGTAAAACGACCGAGTCGAAGACAGACTACCGTCATTTCGTAGATCAAATGGATTGCGGATCGTGAATTATGGACGGTTCGCCGGGAACGAACGACCTCCTCCCTTGTTTTTGCGTTCGCGCCTTTTCGCTGTATATTTTTGTACGGACCCGTCGCAAACGTGTTGTTTTTCTCTTGAGAGATTTCTTTGAGAGATTTTTCCAGCGTCGTCAAGTTTTCTTCGGATTTCCCGGGTTTTTTTTCTCTTACGGTACACGTTCTGCAGAAAACATTACTGTGTGTCAATGAAATACCGATGGTGGTGTTCCTTTGGTTAAATTCCCAACATTCCACCGTCGTCGTTTCGCCGCACTCCCGAAAACCGTGTCGTTTGTTCCCTTCTCTACGACGCGACAACTAAACAGTACGTACACGTATAAAGTAAATCTATTTACAGCGACATTTTCGTTGTCATCGGTTTCGGCATTTTTTTTCGATTTACTACCGCGTAATCCCACTTAAGCTTCTCATAGCACCTGGAAATAATAAAAAAAAAATGGTTTCGGTGGCTTAAAATATGACAACAACAGGTTTTTTGCGTTATTGATTCTTAGCCGTATAGGTACCGATAAAAACGTATTTTTTCGCATGTAAAGTTATGAGATTTTCATGAACCGAATATACAAATGTATTAAATCGGTAAAAAAAAAAAAATAATAATAACAATAATAAAAATTTAACGTCTTAATACTATTTAGGCGTATCTGGATTTTAAATTCAGAAAACTTATGTACCTACTTACCCATTTAACACGTACCTATTAAATAATTTCCATAGTACGGCTTTTGCTATCTTAATTAAGAAACGTGTAAATATTAACATTTCCTGCAGTTGTACAACCACCCGCTACGACAAGAGTCTGCAATGCCTTTCGAGACGTGTTTACGAATCACAGTAATTAAAATATTATGTACAAACGGAATATTAGTACTATTATTATTAACGTTATGAACATTTGCAAGACTGTAAATTGAAATAGCGGTAACCAGTGTTGTGTTTTGTCTTTTGTCTAGATAGACGCATCATATATTTTTTCTTGTACCTGGGTAGGTATACTGTATGTTTTTATCTTTTATCTTATCCAGATGAACGAGAATGAAGATTTAGCATTCCTGGTGATCTAACGAACGAATACAATTTCAAACTACGCATTTACAAAATCGTGACAAATTAAAAAATATAATAATTATAAACTTACGAAATCGGATACACGTACGAAGATGGGAATAGCCAGATAATAACACATATATTTGTAAAAACACTACGACAATTGATTGCAATTAGATAATTGTCTACATTTCGTTTACATACATCAAAATAGCAACGTTTATCGACAATTTCAAATTCCGAATTTTCAGAGAAAAACAAAGCCAAGTTATTACTATATTACTATTACGAGCTGTAAACTTTGTGGATTACACGGCCTACCGACGTAGGGAAATAATATTGATTATCTGAGCCGCTATCCTGGATTAATAATGAAATAGTCTAGATAACATTGTTAATCAGCTTAATTAATGTTTACAATTTGTATTTTATCATAAAATCCGTATAAAAGGAGTAACTGCATTGCATATCAACGCACAGCTCAAAAACTTCGGGCCCCTGGGTCCAAATTTTTTTAATGTTCTTCTTGAGTCATATGTTACGGATTTAGTTATGCATGTACCGAAATGTGTCTAACGTTAACTCCACCGCCTTCAAAATACCAAATACTGACTACATTGTATGGCTTTCAAAGCCCTCCATAACGTATACATGTTAAAATTTCAGTCCACAAATATTTTTCAAAATATATCGCAGACTTTTCTAACGGCCAGAACGAGAAGATTACAGCTGCCAATGCATCTCCTACGACTTATCCGCAGTTTTTATCCGGTTAACCGGATCTATGTGTCGCAGTATTGTCTATATAATGTATTATACAATTTTATTGTAGAAAACGGTGCCGCGGATAAGTCGAACAAGACGAATCGTATACGCAGTGAATCAAAAACGGAAACAAAATAAATCACGTCCGTCCGGGGAGTTGCAGCAACGCGGACACAGAAACGCCTTTGGTCGTGACGAGAAATAACAAATTTATATTCAGTTAACTGCTGTTGCAGTGTTCCCCAAGTTCACGTCAACTATGACGACGGCGAAAAGTAGGGAAACATAGATCTCAAAAATACGCCATCGTGTGTTTTGCGAATATTTCAAATTATCCATGGAAATACAATATAAGTGCCATTTTTTTTCCAACATAAAACACACCAAATGGGGTAAACTAATTTTTTTAATTTAATGTTTAATTAAAATATAATAATCTCATAAAAACAAGTGATTTCCGGTGATTTAAAGCAGATTTAAGCATTCACAGTGAATTTTCGCCAAAAAATTAATATTACATTCAACAATGAAAACTAAATAAAATTATTTTAAAACAAATGTTTAAATAAAGAACGGACATACTTCGCACGTGGGTGCAGTCATTGTTGTAGGTGAGAAGTTGAGAAGGTAGGATACGGACGGGAATTTAATGTATATCTATAAGCAATGACAAACCATTGTTAACGAAAAAATAATCCTGAGCTGAGTTCAGTTGATAATGTTGCTTTGTCAATTATTTATAAGTCATTCTATGGTAAAGTGATTACAACAAGGTGCGTCTCCATAACAGCGATGATTGTTTAAAAAAATAATAATAACTTAATAAAGCAATAAATAAATAAAAAAAATGTCCAGTGACAACCTTATTTTTAATTTTGCAATCTTTGTTAACCTAAAGAACCAGGTTTCCTCATTGTCTAGAATATTCAAGAGAATTTCAAAAAAAGATCTCTCTAAAGTACCATAAAGAGAATATGTCGTTTCATAAAAGGTGCTATACTTGATAATCAGGGTAAGCTTTCTGGAAGAAAAAGTGTTCTCATAAAAAAAAAAAAAAACATTATTGTAAAACCGATACATTCCTCACTCCACTCAGAATCTAAAATAGTGAATAAATTATTAATAAAGTATAACGTGAGTAATTCGTGTCGTTTTCCTCTTCAACAGTTTAAAAAACTACGCAATAGCCAATTCTTGCGTTCTCGTATGAAAGCCTCATATTAGTTTTCACAGCGTCTTTCTATCTGGGTCTTTGGTCTACCCAGTACTCCATTTACAAATTATTTTGTACAAACGTTTACGTCGTTTTTGATATAACCATTACAACTCCTCGTTATTTATTGTTTCGTATATTCTTATGTCACTATTTTTACTTTCCTTGAAATAAAAGTTAGATCTTAATAACTTGTTGACACTGCATGACAACAGTAGTGTTTGCATGTGATATTCTTCCATTACTTTGTCTTATGCACGTTATTACTGATATAATATATGCATTATATTAATTATATTAACTACGTGTACATTCGCGTGAAAAGTGAGAATTCAAAAAATACAATGTTTTTAAAATTAAAAAAAAAAAAAAACCGAAATATTATATTTAAAAAAGTATAATATATAGGTATGTAGGTATGGATCGTACGGATATTTCGGCCGGTCTAAAAACGAAAGTCTTATCAGTAGTCGTCCGTGCAACACGATGTACTCCGAACGCTCTCGAAAGCATCAGAAATCTCGAGAAAACATCCCCCACGTAGGTACTTAAGTTTTTAACATACACGGTGATTTATTGACCAGTAAATCAGCTTTGCTCAGAGTTATTATATAGTTTTGCGCACGATGATTCATTGTCGTTTTCGAATTTATAACGACAACGTTACAGGCACGAGAGTGTTCTATTCAAACCTACAGCGCTCACAGTCTCCTCTCTCCCGCCATGGTGCAAAGTGTATTTTCGGTTTGTTTGTTCCGTTATAATAATAATAAAATGCAAACATGGACAACTTTGGTTCCCCGATAAATATAAATTCGTGTGTCGAAAATATTTTCGAAAAACCCTTTGAAAACGTTTTCGACAATTTAATAATAACAACAAAAAAAAATGAAAAAAAAACGCGTATTACATTTTACTTTGGTTAGTTTTTCAACGCAGGTGTAATGCTTCAAAGGGAGAACATCGCTAAATCGAGAAAATCACGGAACCGCGAGATAGCTAATATTAAAAAATATTTAGGTGGTTAGTACACACATATTAAAAGTTAAAAAGAAATAATAAACAAATATAAAAAAAAAGAGCACACTTATTCTTGCCACGAGTAAGCCACAGTTTTATAGATGGCCAGTTGGGAAAGTATATAGGATATAGAGCAATTCATACTTTATATACCGGAAGAGACGCTAAACCGGTAAGGTTTAAAAAGTCAAAAGACAATTCTGAACTAAGCCCGGCTAACTTGAAAAAGGTTAGCTTCAGGTTTTGGCATTGTTCCCAACGTAATCCGGAATCCATTTGTAGTCAGTTTTGTTAATTTTGTAGAAATCTGTCTGGATTCTGGAAACGTTTATCAAATAAAATAATGCAGATTGAAAAACTATTTCTTTTATGATTTTATTTGAATGTTTCGGAGCCGTTTTACTTACCGAAAATTGTATTCTGCCTGAAAAACGTACATAATTAAAGCCAATAGTTTATTCGTTGCACTCTGCATTATCTAAAAAAAAATAAATAAATGTGAAGAAAATTGATATTTTTGTTCTTCGTATTTTTTAAAAATGTTATTAGCTGATACGTTATTTTTCTGAATTTCTGTCCGTCGAAAACTGACGGTAAAATACGATCCGATAAAAATTAAAGATATTTTGAAATATCCTAAAACTTCTCATAAAATATAATATAATTTAAGTCCTATTTTTATTGTTTTTTTATCAAAGTTTTTTTTTTTGACGGAAACGTTATCAAATTTTCCTTTTTAAGATCGTAATTGACTAGCTGTTACACAGATATTATAGTTATAGTAAAACATTGTATAAATTGTGTTTATAGAAAATCAAAGAAATTTTAAAATCGGTCGTAAACCAATTGGTGGCACAGCGACATAATCGTTTTAACAAAAAAAAAACGCCACCTGTCAATATGGTGTTCACGTCGTCAACTTTTCATTTTTATTGTTAAAATGTTGTTCTTTTTAAAGTTTTATCGTGATGTTCATTCAATCGTGTAGCGTACACGATTGGACGCAGTCATAACGCACATTTTTTTCATTTCGAGTAAATTTACGATATAAAAATTGTTGTAAAACATCCGTCGTTATAATAATCAATAACGAAACAAGTGAAATCATACGTTTTTGCACGGTATTAAACGTTTAAATACATTGTTTATTACAAATAAATCCATGTTTAGTTATCATTAAAAAAAAAAAAAGAATTAAACCGGAGTACTTCATAAAAACTACGTTATGATTAATCGTTTTGTTTTTATATAAAATTTAGATTTTGGGTGTAGCAAATGATAGTTTTACTGAAATATTGTTTTTTTTTTTCAACCTTCCCTTTCGTTTACTCAACATGTTTCCGATGTTTTGCATGTAATATTTTAAATTTTAATCGATGTGCATTTTTTTCGGTTGGTAATTAAAAACTTCATTTTAAAAACGTTTCAAATTTTCCAATAGTGTTTTTTTTTCAAATAATTGCTTTTTATTGGTTTTTTTAGTTCGGTAAATGCTCCATTTTTTTTTTCGGACAGAATTTCTGCCGGGTGTGACATTATTTGAAACATTAATCGATATGTGTTACTGTAATTTACTATCCTGTATATTCTGGATTTTCAATTACTCGCCTACACCAGTATCCTAACGCAATGATAACTTTTTATCATAAAAACCACCGCGGCAAAGATTCAATATAATTGTCGATTAGTGATGAATAAAGATAATGGAATGTTTTAAATTTCTGTGTTCGTCAGTTTTCTAGAGAAGGCGTTAAGAGGGGTATTCAATGTATAGCTGAAATTCCACCAGAAACGTCGGGTTTTCGATTTAAGAGAGTGTTTTCCTTTGGAAATCACGTTAACGGACAAAAAACAAAATAATATTTTACTATTAACGTAATAATGTATTGAAAACGTTGGTTAGCATATTCTACAATACAAAACCTATCGCTGACTGATCGTTTTTAACATACACGTAATATCGCAGAACGATTATTATATAATTTATTACTATTGAAAATTTATTTTTTACTTCTCGCATACTCGATTTTCATAAAAAAAAAAACTTTTTTTTCCTCCGGTATTCGATAGACCGCATTTATATTTACGGGTCACTTTTTTTTTTTTTTTTTTGTTGCCAAGTGTCTGCTCGAACGAACGCTCTTTTATAATAATATTTTCTATCCAATATTTCACCTTTAACGCGCGTGCAAACCGTAAAATGCGTATAATATTTTTATCCAACTCGTCGTTATTTGTACGACCGCTAAACGTATAAATCATACATCAGAAACTGGTATATAGTAGGGAGGTGCGTTCACCTGCAATTGCATTTCGCGCCCTTCGCGAAAACGTTGGCGGTATCGAATATACGACGAAGAGTTATTATCATATGAATAATTTAATTTAATTTGTTCGCGGTTTTTTTCTATTTTTTATTTTTGTAGTTTTTAGTTTTGTTCGATTTGTTCGAGAGTCCTCACTGTCATTTATATCGAATTACGCGGTTACTACGACAAGATGATTTACTCTCGAAAATCACGGTTTCCGTAAAATAGACGCATAGCGAAACTTCTATTTGTTTTGTCAAGCCTGGGCACGAATCGGTTAAAAAAAAAAAAAAAGAAAGCCAAATTAATTTTATCATTGATTTAAGATTCTGATTGGAACTGAGAAGCTTATAGTTTTACAAAGATGTTTTTTTTTTTTTTTCATTGTCATCCCAACTGTTACGTTTTTCCGTCTCATCATGATGTGTCCTAACCACATGCATTCTGAGTGGAACTAACCTAACGGATCAGGTAAAGTATTACAAATTACCGATTGCAGGAGGTCGTGATATATAAGCCTTTTAAATACTCGGTTGTAAATAACTGTACGTTTATCATTTCAAAACTGGACCTCATTTCGGCGCATCCAATATATAATGGCACGGAAAACGAAAGATAATATAAGAAACGAATAGTTTTTTTTTCTCGATAACAGTGACCAGACCCTTTCAAACGGGTCGGCCGAGTTCGTATCGACCGAAAATAAACGCTGCACACGGTTTTCGCGATGGACCTATAATAATTCACAAGTATATTTTTTTTCTAATGTGGAGGGCGGAGTTTTTATGCGGAAAGAAATCGACAGACAGTTTCTGATTCTATAATCGTCTCCACGTCGATTGTGTCTAATAATATTTCTTACAAGAAAAAAAAAGTCCGGATTCGTCTTACATTTCTCTTGAAAATAATCTAACAAATAAATATTTTTTTTTTTTTTCGAGAAAACACTGCAGTATTAATTCTTGTCTAGACAGTCACCGCCCGTGAACTGAACACATTTTAGATTAATTTTTAACGTCTACAGCTGTACCACAGCTGATGTCGCTGAAATCTCGAAACAATATACTCACAGTAATGCAAATTCGGTTCAAGGTCAATACGATAATGACTTATAAAGCATTCGAATACAAACTATTTGAATATTTGTATATATTCTGATTTATACTTACGTATTTTAAACACACACATACAAATTACTCGGTATTGTACTTTATATATTTTTCAAAAGTATTTGTATTTTAAATTAAATACTTATTTTTAATACTTTAATCTAGCTATTTTTGAAAGCAATCGTTCCACTTTATGTTTAAAGTGTACAATATCATTATTTACAATTCCGAAATGTATTGATTTTTGTAATGTATTTGAAATTGTGTTTAAATACTTTTTTACATTTTTACCAATTTTATCTTATCCATTATCGAAATTATTGATGGTTTTACGCTTACCTTTTTTTTAACTGCGGTACTAATTACGTATAGTCTGTATAAGTAATATGCATGATTAATTTTGCGAACCACCAATAAAGCCATCATAAACAACCGTTGATAGTTGATAAAAAAAAAAACAGACATTTTGTTAAATATTGATGAAATTCTTACAAATAAATACTTGTCAAATAAATAATTAATACTCGTTTGGGGGGGGGGGGTTCTAATACCTTCTGAGATTTAAAAACGGTTCTGGGTAGGATATAATATTTTCGAGAGCGAGAATTTATACCACTATAATTCTCCCCTAATACCATTTAATATGAAGGGAGCGATTTTCTAGGACATTCATAGCCGTAGCTACTATACGAGAAAATGTATACAAGTCCGGTAGGTGTGGTATTCCCACGACCGGTGGTACAAACTTCCTACAGTGTATTCTCACCCTTCAGTGCACACTTATGGTAAAGATCACGTCATGTTTGAATTTGTAAATATATCCTAGGGTATTTTAGTACTGGTGGGTATCCTAGAAAAATCGTACCCTTACCACACCACGGATATTATGGTTTTAAGATGTGTGTTTATTCCAGAATATTTGTAACGAGGGGCGGTATGAATTTCCTGTGACGCCGGGAGATATTTTCGAATGGTTTTAATCCGATAACGCCAAATATATAATTATATTCAGTAGCAACATATTATGCGTAATATTTTACACACGATATAATAGTGTTCTGATTAAATTTCGCCGTCTAGAAATTATTTATACGCGCGTTAAAAAGTTAATCGTCTTAAAATATTGCATTATACACGTTGACGTTGCCACGTTGTCGTTCTGGGCGATTTTTAATTTATCCTACGAACGTTCACGGGCGACAAAACATAAATTTAAAATAATATACGCGTTCCGACGATACATTATAATTTAAAATTATTTTTTTTATTATTATTTTTATTTATCGGTAAGCACTTATTCGTAGTGGTAAACACGGATGCGTATTTACGACTTCGAAGCCCTATGTACATACATTTTAATTGGCACCACGTGATTAAAGATTTTATCCGTTTCATCCACTGGGACCGTGGTTATGGTAGAGTGAAATAAAAAAATACCAATAAACGCACTGATGTGCGATATTCATGTTATACGAATGCGTGATATTCCATGGTCATAATATATATATATACATATGTATCATTGAATGATTGAATGTTTAAACGGTTATAATGACGACTGTAAATTCTAAGCAAAGACGTAAAATAAATAAGAAAATTTAAGATACGGGTAACCCCGTTTATCGCTTAGATAAATTCTCAATAAATCCGATAAAAACGTTATTTTATTTTATAATAACTTCGCATTGTAAACAGTTTAAGGGACCTGAAATTTGACCCCTGAGCCCCATTGGCCCCATACCAAAAATATACCTCACGGTAAACAGACAGGGATGTTTTACAAAACATATTGAAGCTAAAATTACAATTATTTAAAAAAAAATTAATAATAATAATATTTTGTAATTGGATTGCATTTTCTGCTGTTGTTTGCTATGTTTGATCGCTGCAATATCGCCAAAAGGTTTTGTACCAATGGATAATCATTAACCGAAATGTGTATATTTTGTGGTTTGCTGATCGGTTGTTAAAAAGCACATTCAGTTAATTACACTAAACAATATCGTCATTTAGCCAAAACAGTTTGACCTCTACATCAAGTTGTTCAAAATGTATTGTCGAAGCGCGGCTTAAGTTTCTGTGATTTTTCCGCCGTTTTATTTCGATATCATTATTATTTACGCACGTGTTACCGAATACCTATTTAATGATATTTCGTTAGCTAAAGAATGACGGTTTGAGTACAATCGGGTAAATATGCCTACCCGTGTATACGAAATACACAAAATAAAAGTCCAAAGACGGCTCCGGTGGCATATTTACAGACCGTATCTGAGTTAGGCCCGAGTGGAGTGTAAATGCAAGACACGTCGTGGTTTTTCGTTGTCTAGATTATGAGTTTATACTTGAAACACTAACTTCCTTGGAACATTATCTATCATGTTTGAAACAACGACTGGGTTACGTTTTGTAAAAATCAAAACACATCCGAAAAATCCCTTTAGTAAAACCATTTCGGTTACGTTTCAGTTTAGGTCGAACTTGGATACGGTCTGTGAATACGCTACCCCGGGTCAGTGCGTTTTTTCGATCAAAAACATGGGAAAATCTCTCGTGCCTTATATAATATGGTCCGAATTCGATGTTGGAAAGAAAATGATTTATTCTTACAGCCCGCATTAAATTCCGTTTTTACAATATTTGAATCTTAATTTTTATATCAGTACGTCTTTTTTTAAAAAAAAGTCAATGTTAACCTTTTTTTTTACCAAATTGTATATCATTTATTTGAAATCAAATAAAAATCGGAGTTTAATGTGAGCTGTGGAACGTTCATCAATTTTTTTAAACAATAAATGGTATAGGTAAAAATATTTAAGCTGAAAATGAGTTATCTTTATATTTTCTTAGCGTAAATATGGCCTGATATCCCTAAATGGGTCCCAATTATTAAAACCTTAAATTCTATTTTAAAATTTTACAAAATCGTAGAAAAAATGTAAAGTCAATACCGATCATCTTCAAAGAAACATAGTCATTATTAGACGCATCATGTTTATGTACTTTGAAACCGAAGGTTTGGTATGAAAAAACGAGTCGGGATAGGTGTGCCGCTGTTGTAGTTGAGCGTTTGGGAAGGTAGGAAACATAAAGCAATTTATTTTATATATGTAGACAAGGTTAAATCATATTGTTGATGAAATACGATTTTGGGTGAAGTTCTGTTAAATATCAGTTGTTTACTGAAACACTAGGGGAAAAAAAACACTCATATCACAGTTAAAATCAATACATTCCGCGCTGCGTTTAGAATTTAAAACATGTTTCGCTCAGAGGGCAAAACAAAACAGTTTAATCGTTTAAAAATCGGACGCGTTTGACTTGTGCTTGCTGTCGATTTTTCGCGTAACCGCGTTATTTTACGAAATAATTCGCGAAAGTGCTGTTGACATAATAATTAGAATTATGAGTAAAAACATTTCAATTTATTGTGTGTATTGAAAATTGTATTTATTTTTTTTTTTTGTTTGATTAGTTCTGTCGTGTATTTTATTTTATAAAGTTATAAATACCGAGTGTCAGTGTATTGTAGCACTGGGTATACTATACACTATAATTAATTTATTCTAAATTGAATTGTGCCGTTTTAAATACACGATACCGAGTATTTAAACTGACTGAATCATTCAGTAATATTATTGTTAATTGGATATGTTTTATGTTGATAACGGTTTGTAAAAAACTACGAGCAGTGCTTAAATTTAATGTCTGTCATAAACACTGTAACATTTTTAAATTTAAAACTAAATCATATGCATTTTTAAATTTTTTTTTTTATTAAAATTAAATATTTCGTTCAACTTTCATGGAATATTAATTCAAACGTACAAGTTTCATGCAATTTTACAGCGCTAATTTTCCATGTGTTTTTTCACGCGGATTCAATGTCTGTACTAATTTCACTTCACGGGAGTGCGAATGGGTTGCAAACCGTTTTCGTTTCGATCTGAACGAAGAAAACGCACACATTCCATAAGTACAACAACACCATGGTTGTTATTTTCCCCCGACGGTTTTTAAGTGCTCGTACTACCATTACCGTGTACAAATGCAATTTATGTTATAAAAATATGAATTTGTAAAAATCAATTTGCTCGGAGATTATACTCTGAGCACGTAAAAATTGAAAAAAAAAAAAAAATCCATCTGTCGTTGTTCAATAACAAGGTCTCGGGAGAATGCCGGTAATTCCGCGATCACGATAAACAGCTGCACTACTCGGTGTGTGTGACATTTATTATTATTACTATTGAACGACTTAAGCGAAAACGTAGGTATCCGATCGTTTTTATTTCTACTTACACCAATAAATCAGGTTAAACTGAAAAATAAAATAAATCTACACTGTGATTCACTAAACGTGATCGCCCTTCATTTTATTAATTCAATTTTGCATTATATATTTAAATTCTGATTTTTGGAATTTTTTTGTGTGGATAAAGCCGATATTTTCGAATAATTAGATTTTCCACAACATTTAAGGAGTGTCCTGTGGCGATACCAACTTTGTTTTTTCAAATAAAAACCTATAATGAAAATTCCAAAAATAGACGGAGCATTATTTTCAATAAACTTTGAAAAAAATATTTTTGAATTCCGGCAATCCGTTAAAAATATATTTCACTTTTAAGTTAAGGTAGGGGGATAGCTGTGGACTATAATTTGTGAGACAGCACGGCACGCGGCATTTTATTAGTGCTTCCCTGATTTCCCTTATTAAAATTAAAAGTGAAATATCTCGTCAACGGGTTGATTGAAATCGAACAACTTTAGTATCAACATTTATTTAAAATCTATCTATTTCTGGCATTTTTAATATAAATTCTCATATTAAAAACCAAAGTCGGTATCACCACAGGATATTCCTTAAATGTTAAATGTAAAAATCTATGTATTCAAAAATATGGACTTTAACTACACTTACAAATTCTAAAAAAAAAAAAAACTTATACTGGGAACGGGTGCGGCCACTGTTGTAGGTGAGAAGTAAGTAAGTAAGCTAGTATATATAAAGTTATTTCATTTATACCTGCAAGCAATGATAAACCATTGCTTGACGAAAGACGATTCCGAGTGCAGTCGAATAATATATAATTTTTGTAATTTCCCGTTAAAAATTTCATTTCAAAAAGCTTATTAAAAAAAAAAAAAGTCGTCCGATGATTTTGGAAATTTTACCACATCTAGGTTAGTCTAATAAAAGTATTATTACCAAGTTTCAAGTCTCTACGTGTATTTATAACCGAATTAAAGAAAAAACTTCAAAACGTTCAAATTCCTTAAAAGCTCAAAATGGCTCAACATTTTTGGCGATAATACCTAAGGAAAGTAAATCAAAAAGGTAACGAAAAATGTGTCGTGTGATTTTTCGTAATTTTTCGAAATCATTTTTTCTGGTAGAAAACGTCATCCGTGTTTTTATAAAATAATGAAATCTTGAAATCGTATGTTTTCCTACGTTTTTCTCTTACTTAAGTTCTTTTATTAAAAAAAATGTCGTCGAAAATCAAAAAAAGACTTCTTTAAAGTACCGTCAAAATAATTTAAGCTTTCAGAATAGTTGCTACATATAAAAACCGGAGTAAGGTAAAAACTAGGAAAAAATGCGTACAAAGACTAGAAAAAAAAATAAATAAACGTCTTAGTAAAACCAATAGCTTCCTCGCTACGCTTGGAATCTAAAATCAGAATTTGAATATATTTAAATTTTTACTGAAATAATGGAGTGAATCACTCTGTATATCTTTTAACCTATTAATTGTTATCTGTTTAAGAAGTAATTTAGCCATAATTTTGTATTTCAAGATTTTCACCACTGGAGTTTCGTACTCAAATTAGAATATGTTCTGTATAGACATGAGGTTCGATATAATGTCATTAGCTACTATAATAAAACCATTAAATTAAACAGTTATAAAAAAAAAAAGAGAATGTTAGAAAATAATATTTTTCATTTAAAAAAAAAAAAAAAAAAAACTATGTTCCTAAGTTTTTTACATTTATCTTTTTTGAAAAAAACAAATATGAATTAATTATTATTTTACAACGCCTAAATTAAGATAATGGATGTTCATTTGTCATTGAGGAGTACAAAATACATTTACGAGTACACACAGTTAAGGACAATAATTCTGAGAAATGCATCACTTGTTGTACGTGTCCGGCATGAGAAAACAATTCTGAAAAAACTAACTTTTGTGCATCGTAATTTGAGTTATATTTTCTTTGTTATAAACCATTCGTAAATGTCGCTTGACCCATCCGGCTTTGAAATGAACACGCGACGTACAAATACTATTGAAAATGGTCATTACCGTCGATACTATTTGATTATTACGATCGAGAACGCTCAGTTTTATATGGTTCCACTCAACATCGCCGAATATATTATAGTAATCTGTAGGTCCGAACGTACAGCCGTCAAACATAATATATTGCGTATTTCGACTTGGATAATACGGATATATTGCGGTCTTTCAAATTTAATGATAACCCATCGTTTGAGATACCACATTACTGAAACCATCAATAATATCAAAACTACACGACTACAACGGTAACGAATTGTCCGGGACGAATAATCAAAATATCGTACGCTCATCGTTCGACAACGCAGTTTGCCGTGCTTTGCGTTCTACGTACGAAACATTTTTTTTTTAATTCCCGGGATCAGTTTCCCTTAACGTTTTAGATTCCGAGTGGAACGAAGAATGTATTGGTTTTACAATGATTTTTTATTTTTTTCTGTGAACGATTTTTCTGCAAGAAATCTACCTCCAATTTTCAAGTGCAGTGTCTTTTATAAATGGAAATTTGATCTTGTTGGTACTTTAAGAGGGCAACGCTTTTATTTCCCAAGCGATTTTCATAACGATTGGGGAAAATCGGCAAAAAAAAAAAAAACACGGGAAAATTTACGAAATATATTATTTCAGTTTTGTTTTTTATTGTGATTTATTTTAAAACATTCGTAAATAATTGATATTTGAACGGAGGAAAAATCATTGCATTTTCCAAGTGAAGTAAAATTTTAAAAATATTCTAGCCATCTACGATCTATATATGATTATAGACATTTTAATTTTTCGAGTTTTTTACGTAATTTTTATTTGGTAGGTAGTAGGAACTTTGTGGCTACAGTTCTTAGACCAAACCGAAATACTTTACAAGCGGTTGATTTCAAGTCGTACTATGTAGTTAAAAAACTAGGATAATGTCCTAGGATAATGAGGACGGACGCAGCCACTATTATAGATAATTTAATGTAAAACTGTTATCAACGATAAACCAATTTAGAAAAAACGATTCTGAGCGTAGTTTAACTGATAGTGATGCTTTGTCAACAATATGTATGTCATCTTATAGTAAAATAATTAAATAGGCATTATATATCTTTTTTTAATGTTGTACCGATTTCCCCATTTGTCCAACGTTTTTCCCGGTATTCCTATGTTTTATCCCGTTTTTTTCAAATTCGATAAGAAAAATCCTGAAAAATCGAAAAATTACCTCCCTATTGTACCTTCTCACGCCGATTTCCTTTCAGAAAAGGTGCTACACGTGAAATCCGAACAAGTCTCCTACCGAACAGTTGTGCACGGATAAAAAAGAAACGTGGATTTGTAAAACCACGAGCTTAATCGCTCCACTCATAATCTAAAAAACAAAACATTTAGTGCACTGTAGAATTTTTTTTTCTTTATAAAAAATATTTAGTATCAAATTGTGATGATAATCATACCAATAATCTTTACAACACGTGTAACCAGATTCTACGTATAATCGTTTTTGATTGGCTATAATTAATATTTATAAGTTCATAATCCGACCTAAAACAATAGCCCACCCACCGTGCCAAGTGTGTCGGTCTTTTTTATATTATTTCATTTGATATTTTTAAATATCCGTATAATATGTAATGCGTTTGTATGATTTATTTATGAGTTTTGACCTGAATTTTTAAATTTGAATATGGGTACACATGCTACTAATATAATTATACAGATAGCAACATTATACATAATTTTGTTTTCAAAGGTACTGTTTTTTTGGGTCGGCGGTTATTTCATTGTTCTATTTCGAGTGTTTTCAATCGTATGCAAAAAAATGTAAAACGTTACCACATCATGTGTAAATGTAACCGTCAAATCACATGCAACTACATCATAGAACGGCAACACTCTTAGAAACTAATAATTGACGACTATCGTTATAATAATACTCAGGCATCACGTGTCGTTTTACTCGTGCGGCCGATAATTTTTTTTTGTATGCATACTATATGCATATATATATGGCCAAGTGCAAGAAGGAATAATGTAATTTTTTTTGATTGTTGGGAAATTGGCTTTGAAATTTAATTTCCCTTATGGTTCTGTGTATTTTAATAAATGTAAAGGTTTGTGTGATTTTCAATTTTTACAAAAATTTAATACAATTTTACTAAAAAATAAATAAATGCACACTTTCATTTTTTATTTCTGATTTTTTTTTTTTTTTTTTTTAATATGACATTGGCCCTTCTTGCACCAAACTACAGGTATACATAATATATATATTTTAAATAAACCTTTCGACTCTTGGCGGTGGCAGCAGTATTGATAATTCTAAAAAAATTTTATACTCGCGTATTCCCACGATGGTGAAACACGAGTTCAATTCCGCGGCAGACGTAATAAAATTACCGTCTCTCGGAAAGCGAGGAAAACGCAGACGGTAAAAATAATGGTTCAATTATTTTTCACCGCCCAAATATTACTCGTAAAACGTTATACACGAGTCATAACTATAAGAGCTATTTGAAATTTCCGAAATTTTATTTATATTCTATATTATATAATTACTGTATATTATATTTTTACATTCCAGACATTCCTATAGAAAAATAATTTAAATTTAAAATTAAATTTTTTTTTTTTTAGATTTCGAGTGTATTTTTAATTAAGCTTACAGTTTTAGATCAGTCGTCGTGTACGAATTAAATATATTCAATTAATAAGAAGGAGAATATTAAAAATCATAAATCGAAAATAACATTATCATAAACTGTTAAAAGAAAAAAAAAAGATAATGAAAGCGGTTGAAAGCGACTGCACATTAATATTGTTACTCCGGGAGTTCCATAAGGCTATTAAATCATTTGATCGCGTTTATTATGCTTGTCGAACCGAACTCGTTTCCCGACACTAACCGACATTTTACAAAAATACAGCTAAAAGACAATAGCTACGGAGAAAGCCATAGCTCAAATCCGAAATGTTAAACGTGCTTTTCGCGAAGAACGCATAACGGCTGAGCGGTAAATAAACGACGCGAGCCATTAAAAAAACCAAAAAATTAAAACTAATAAGACGATCGTCTAGTATCAATTTTCTTTAACATTAGTTTATCGTAGTGTACAGATAAAAATTAAACATTAATTCACATAACATTTAGACTTATCTCCTGAAACAGTTGTAGCACTCATCAGTAGTATAAAATTTGTGTGTATGTGTTCGATAACGACAGATTTCGATAGAAAAAAATATCGCAAATCCGTTACGGTAACGAACCGACAGACGGGTACGTGAAAAATCAGCATTTGTAATTATAAAACATCAGAACGATATGGAAAACCTAGCCACTAACAGGCGCGTTTTGTCGATATCGTGTTCAGGGAATTCGGACGATTTAAAATTCTACACGTTTACAGTCCCCCTGCGCGTAGTGTTGCGTTGCGTTTTGGTTTTTTTTTTATATTTTTACCGTTGTTGACTAATAGCCGACCACACGTGCGAGCGGACATTCGCCGGGCCGCATAAAATACCGTATTAATAAATTTTTTGCGGGATTTACGGAAAAACCTCCCCGAAACGTGTACACCGACGAGAAGTACGTTCATCTCGGTAATGAATAATAATCAGGGCCTCGAACCCCATAACATATGCATTCACGTATAATGTTTTGCGGCATCCGGACAACGGTCCGCGCAACGGATTTCGGTATAAAAAGCTGGGTTCACACGGGGCGTAAATCTTAACGGTATTGCCTCGCGGATACATAAGCGTAGGTTGTTCATAATCACAGCAATACGAAAATGTTTAGCACGGGTCCAGAACTGTCGGCATAAAAATGATAAAACGTCAAGTACAATCATTTCGTGGTTGATTTTCCTACGGATAAAAAAAATAAAAATAAATATTTTCACTCCTTATGTGAGTAATATATATTTATATAAAAAAAAACTGAATTTTATCATCTTTATTATCTCGAGAGATAATACAATGGGTGTACCATCGGGACACACTGTACTTTGCATTTTTATGTAATTTGTTGTGCATGTGTTTTAAACTCGTATAATACGTCTTAAATATCGATCAGTAAATTCCAACTGCCACTGTATGAAAATATGATTTCCCGATCACCGACAAAAACATTTCTTCGTACATACCTAATGTGACGAATAAGAGGTCGTGTGGTAACGAATTTTCTGTGCCTAAAGCAAATTGTTTTTGTGTTTTCAAATCGAATACCTTCGGTATGATAAACGGTTGTTTGTTGTTTATTTTTCTGTCACGAAACGAGTGATGTATTCGTTTTACCAAGATGAGCGCTTTTTTAAAAATCTGTTTTTCCGGTCGCTTTCTATAAAATGTTACGACTTTTCCAGGCACTTCTCCGGCAATCCGCCGTACGGGTGGTTTGTGGTAGCGAACGTTGTCTAATTGATGCACCATTGGGGGGCCATTATAAATTCGGAGCTGAACGAGGATTGTATTGGTTTTACAATGATGTTCGTTTATTATGTTTATGGTTTTTTTTTTTTCCGTGGACGACTTTTTTGCCGGAAATTTCGCTTCGAATTTCGAAATCGACTCGATCCCGACTTTCTTGCAGGGACCGAGGAAAACATTGTTATCGTACGAAAAAAACGGCGATAAAATTGATTGCGCGCCGATTGAACAATTGCCGTTTTTCACGCAAAACCGGGTTCGGCGTCGGCCGATTACAAACGAACCGCAGTTTCCACGGTATCCCCGGACGGGTGCGCATTTGGAAAAGGTTCGCCGTCACACTGACATTCTACCCGACTCGTAAAACGCCGGACGGAAACGATCAAAACAATAATCAACGGCAAAACAGTGTAATGATGTCGTCTCGTTCGCGCTATAACGCGATCGTTGTCGTCGCCACTGCCATCCACCGCCAATCGCATTTTTTATCACGGCCGTCGCGGCGAACGTCTGCCGCCGAGCGTCGCGGCGTTTTTTTTCCGCGGCCGCGTGCCCGGACCGGACGACCGCGGAATCATCGTCACGTCGTCCAAACCGGGGGGTCCAAAGACGGTCCGGGATTCCGGACGGACGCGGAATCCGTCACGCCGTGTCGCGGGGTCCGTCGGTTACGGCTCCGCTCCGGTCGGAAAACGGTAACGGACAAGGCCGTCGTCGGTCCCCCGGTCCGGACCCCGTGGTATTCCGGTTCGAGCAGAGCGGTCGCCATCGGACGGGATCCGCGCGGAAAAGGCGGCTCGGACAAGCGGGACCGGGTCGGCCGTCCGCGTGCGCGCCCGAGATGCGGCGATGTGTCCGGCGATCGAAGGCCGGACGAACAACGAACGCGCTACGAGATTTCAATCAGCCCGGCCCGGGGCTGCGCCGTTGTTATTGTGTTCGAATTATCGACACGCTACGCATTTGTTCGATTGCGATCGGCACATAAATCTTAATCGATTATTTATAAAGATGAAAAACAACCGATTGTTCGATTACAATCGACACGTAAATCTTAATCGAAGGCCGTGAATGCGCTCCCAATTATCTAGTAACAATCGTAGCTCGGACCTCGTGTAAACCCAGCTTTATTAATTAAAACGTAATGTACGAGTCCGCGCGCACCGTATTTTATACATTGCATAATTCAACGGATTTCGGGCGGAAACGCGTAGAGAGTTTTAAAACACGCATACCATTTTTTTTTTTTTTTTTACTATTCTTCGAAACACACGGACAATTGATTTTATTAATGTTGTCTAATTGAAAAATTTCTCGTTTCTGATAATGTGTGTTTTTTTTTTATTTCAGTACAATAGGTTCGTGTCCTGTCCGTGATTTTTACGAACAGTATCGAAATTAAAACTTTAAATGCGTACAAACTGTATCGTGACCACAGATATTGGATAATTGTATAGTGACACAATAAAAACTTATGAAAAACATTCTATCGAATTCCGAGTAATTTTTATGTACCAAAAAAACATCTCCGTTAAAAAAAAAACCGGAAAAAAACTAAAAAAAAAAATTGAGAACTCTAAATAGCTATTTAGGTACTTTGTAGCTCACAAATTCATTAATGACGGACCGACGGCAGTGACGTGATTTCAGTTTTTCAGAGGAGGGGAAAAAATACTTGACCGGCCCGTGACGAAACTGAAAAAAAAAATGGAAATCGCATTTCTATCTTAATACAAATATCCTTATTACGTAATTTTATAATCGCTATCATTGGCATAATTAAGCATGTTTTCGAGAGACAACTAAATAATAAATATACATCTCGAGAAATACCTAAATATATTACCCGTTAGCTATATGGATATTCAATTTGAGGTTGATTTTCCCCTTATTTATGTTCTATTTGCGCCAACGTGTATGATGGAGTACACATATATTTACAAAAAATATAACCATGTCACCATGAACCATACCGGTATAATCACAGGATGAATCAAATAACAATAGACACGCCAAAAATGTGCATGGGCTCTTACGCGGCAATTTTCAGCTGAAGTGCAATCGATGTTAACGAAAAGTACAATAAAAAATATATATACTGTATACGATTATCACGGACAAATCTTAAAAACCTGTAGCCCGGAGTGCAATACAAATCACGAATTATTTATGCAGACTCGAGGCCCGAAATTAATCCATACCCGGCCCCGATTGGAGCCCGCGGACGACAAGGGTTGGCGAATTCTTTTCGTGCCTCTCCTCAAATGACGCCGCTGATTGACGGACACTAATACCACGGACGGAAATGCGCGTTCGGTAAAAATGCACCCGGAACAGTAACAAAAATAATAGTAACATTATTATTATTTATCCAGAAATAAACACGCGTACACGCGCGCGCGCGGGCATGCATAAAACAAATATAAACACGACGTGTCTTTCTTTTCGACGGTACGACGAATTTCACGTTGTAATATTCCCGCGGGACTCCGAGACGGTTTTTAGTCGGCCGAGCGTTGAATCTAACGCGTGGTGACACTCGAATCGTCTATATTTGCTTTAAATTCGCGTGGATTAACGCGCTCGTCGTCGTCGTTTTATGTTTCATAAAGTCGATTACGACGAAGCCCACGCACGTCAGCAAAAACGTTTCGATATAATATTATTGTCATTTTCCTCTTTCACCCTCTCTCTCTCTTTCTCTCTCTCTCTCTCTCTCCCTCTCTCTATTTCTCTATCTCTGTTTCACTCGGTTATATTTTTACGGGAGACAGTCGCGATGCCCTGGATGACCTAATCATTGAAATTAATGGGGAAAAAATCATTGA